CTAAAGTGGCCGTAAAATCGGTGCAGCAGTGCTTCTGGATGTCGCAGGAGCGGTGGGCGGCTTCGTGCGTTTTCAAAACGTATTTTGGAATCGGCTGGAGAAAAGTTTAAAAAAATGCTCGTGGCAGTCCCGGTGATAATATTCTGAAATCCCTGTCTCACTTAATGTTCCCTGTCTGCCCGCCGCTGAAATAATCTCATTGCTTTCAAAAGAGCATATATTTTCACCTTTGCCATATGCCCACTCAGCCCACATGGCATGTGTTTTCAAACCTATTCCTAGGGGTGATATAACCAGTCCTGTTATTCTCCTACAAGGACTTTCCCCACCTTTTTTATAGAGGCTTCAGTGTGAATTGTGAAAATGTAGTCCTGGCTTCAAGGCAAAAATTCCCTTTACTTCAGCAGGGACAGACGTGCCTTCGCCTGCGTGCGTTCATGCAAAACAGCGTGTTCAGTTTACCGGCTTGAAATTTACCGCGCTCTCTCTAGTCCCAGGGGCTGTTTCTAGTGTTTATTAGTGTGAGAGAGTATCAGCACTTTGAGGTTCTTGAAAAAATTAAGACCGACAGGTTTTCTAAATTAGGACCTTGGAAAGCTTTAGAAAGGTGGGAGATGTATGTCTTTAGAATTTTAGTAATAACCATTGCCCAATGTTTAATTTTGCTCTACAATAATAACAAAAATAATAAACATTAAAAAACTGATGATGCTTTATAGCAAACTATGCAAGGAAGAAACGTGAAAAATAAGATTGGGTTATTTTTGTTTGAAATACAGAAGAGCCAAGGTAAATGTATTTTGGGTTGAATATTTACTTATTTGTCAAGCAGTGAAAAATACTAGGCACTTCACAGATCCAGACTGACAGAGGTTCCCAACCCACAGAGTTCAAAGGCAAAGAACAGAACTTGCCAAAAATGCTGTAATATTCAGATTAAAATGACTGACTGTTGGACCACCTTTGAAAAAATCTAAGCTTGCTTTCTTCCTTTATTTTTCCTTTTCTCCATTATACGCTTTCTCTTACCATCTGATTTTTTTTTTTATTACGTTCACTTCTAAAACTGTGCTCTTCCCAAAATATCTGCTGTTGGGGGTCAAGCAGAAGATGTTCTCAATAGTCTCAAGTGGCTAAACAGATGAAGGATATCTGAGTTTGGCTGGGAAAGGGCTCGATCTCTCCTTTTAACTCTGGGTAGCTCCAGCCACCTTTTTCTGGAGGTGAGAATGCCACTGGAAAGGTGGAGTGTTTTCTAGTTCTAGGGGGCTGTATTATTTTTTCTCCAGTGTTTGTTCACTTTGTGTTTACTCCCTTGTGAAAAAGCCCAGCTACTTTAAACAGTTTATTGTCTGTTTCATTTGCAGAGAAAAGTGAAAAACAATCCATCCAGTTGCTATTCCCGGTGCTATTTATATTCTACTTTTGTCTGACTCCTATTAAAAATCGATTAAAATATTATAAATAATACAATTCCTTGTATATTTAAGCCATAAGTACATTAGTTGCAGTAGAAGGGAAAGTTCTAAGCAAAGTTCATCCTGTAATTATATCGATTGCAACTTCCCTGCTTTCAGTGGAGTTACTTTTGATTAACTCTAGTGCAAAAGAAACTTTAGACCTTGCAACTTTAATGAAAGTTTTGCTTGATAATAAAATGGGAGATCTGCTTTCTGTTATGTTGCTGAGTTAGTAAAGTTTATCTTCTCTTACCTGGCACGTATATATCCATTGCACATCATTAAAAGGAGACCTTTCTAATTTAATAGGGTAAAGAGCCGTATGGAAGCCCAGGTACGTGTGCACGAAGAAGCGACAGCTGTTCCATTTCAGATCATTGCAGTGCTCACAATACAGCACTTTAAAAATTAATAAATATGATGATATAATTTTTGTCAGCATTGCCACTGATGATGGAAGTGTTTAATCAACTGCCAGGTAAAAAAAAGCACCACCAGGAAACTTTGTCAGGCTGACAGATGGAGTTGGAGAAAAAGGGGTGACAGCACAGCACCATTTTGTCCATTGAAGAGAGTGTCTACACTGATGCTACCCATCTGGTAAGAAAAGGCCTTATATTAGGTCAGAGGAACACCTCTAGATGAATTTAAAGGGGTTTTTTTGCTTGTTTTTTAAATTAACAAACTTGTTTAAAAAGAGGTGAAGATACTTCCATATTATCAGTTAGCTAGTTTACAGTATTGGGAAATTTGTTTTATGATTCAACCATCTATGTTTTCTCAGAGCCTGATCAAAGACCAGTTGGAATTCTGCCATCAAGTACAAATTGGGTTGCCTGCTTGTATCATCAGCTACTACTGACATTAATGGGACTTCAGTGCCATCAACACTACATTTAAATCCTGTCATGTCCTTCATGTGGGCAGTCCCTTGTGCCCCTACACAGACTGATTGGTTTAGGAAATATTGGTAAATGACTTGCAGTGTCATTTGCAAATATTGTGTAAGATTTCAATTACACATTTCTTTTTCTAAAGAGAAAAAAATACAAATAATAGGCTGGGGCTTTTCCATGATCCAGGTTATTATTACTGTTGTTGAGTCTGACTTTCTGTTGAGGTTTAACCCCAGCCAGCAGCTAAGCCCCACACAGCCACTTGCTCACTCTCCCCTCAGTGGGATGGAGGAGAGAATCAGAAGAGTAAAAGTGAGAAAACTCATGGGTTGAGATAAAGACAGTTTAATAGGTAAAGCAAAAGCCGCGCACACAAGCAAAGCAAAGGAAGGAATTCATTCACTGCTTCCCATCGGCAGGCATCTCCAGGAAAGCAGGGCTCCATCACACAAATGGTTACTTGGGAAGACAAATGCCGTCACTGGGAACATCCCCTCCTTCCTTCTTCTTCCCCGAGCTTTACATGCTGAGCATGACGCCATACGGTATGGAATGGCCCTTTGGTCAGCTGGGGTCAGCTGTCCCAGCTGTGTCCCCTCCGAGCTTCTTGGGCACCCCTAGCTTCCTCGCTGGTGGGGTGGTGTGAGAAGCAGAAAAGGCCTTGACTCTGTGTAAGCACTGCTCAGCAGTAACTAAAACATCCCTGTATTATCAACACTGTTTCCAGCACAAATCCAAAACATAGCCCCATACTAGCTACTCTGAAGAAAATTAACTCTACCCCAGCCAAAACCAGCATATTCTCCACCCCTTATTCCATACCATTTACGTCATGCTCAGGCCTCACACTATCCAATACATTCTCATTACCCACCACCACCCTTCCCATCCTTTGATATAATACACAGATACCATTCAGTTAGTCTATGGACCACCCCTATAAAATGTCTTTAAAATGTCCACAAATGGACCTGCTCAAGTAAACAATCTTCCTTAATTCAATAAGCATACAAGGTTTGTAATAAGTATGTATTGAGGACTGTATAATAATCACTTCTTTTAATACTAAACAATAACTATATAACATCTCATGGTAATTTGATTTATGAAGTTCAGCAGTGACCGAACAAACTTTTCGGAGGTTCACAGCATCAGAGAATTTGCCAAATACTTCGTTTACGGAAAGGTTTAAGTGAATGCTATATGACTGATTCAAAAGTTGCATCATTTCATTCATGATATTAAAAGTTTTATTTATTACATTGCCAAGTCACATAACGAAAGTGAGTTTATAAGAGTTTGTAAAATATATGATCCAATCTGTAAGAGTTAGCTATACAGAAGATTTGAGAACAGAAAAGGAGATAAGAGACTTTCTTGACATTTCGGAGCCAGTCTAAAACTCTTTCATCTGGAAGTAATCCAGTTGACTTGTAAATTGAACTCCTATTCAGTTTAAGTTTTAAAATAAGGCCTTGGGTCTTCCCCATGTTAATTTTGGGAAGCATTTCTGACTCCTTATTCTTATGTGAATAATGTACTATGTCTTGAGCACACATTGGAAGAATCCAGTCATACTGGCAAGGAAATTTGGGACCTAAATGTCCATTGAGCCTCCTTCTAACAGAGCATAGATGTAGCTTTTGCAGTCATA